TTTTATTTAAACTGTTTTATCGTTTTTCCAGTGAACCACTTTTTCGTCTTCTTATTTTTTTAATGATTACTCGATCTACTTAAATCTAATAAAAAAAAAAGATATACAACACATGTCTTTCTTGTTTGATAATGATCACACATATTGATAACCTCTTATTGCAAACTTTCATCAATAATCTAAGATATTAAACGGTAGCATACAATACAACCAGATCATTACGTTATTATACGTCTACTTGTCCGCCGGAAACTGGTCTACCGGACGGTTGCTGGACAACGACAACTATTTTGTAAGCAGGCAAACATGGCCAAAAAAAAAGTCAAAAGATAAATAGCGGGGTGAGATAAGTAACCATGACGCAATTCGTCCTCGCTTAAAGGGTGATCCAAAAGCCTTGGTCGTTCTTAGAAAAATTGCTCGTTCTCCCTTACAATAAATTCAAAAGTGCTCAAAATTGGACGTCTAATTCTTTGTAACTAGACGAATATGACCTCAAATTTTCAGATCTCTAGTTCTTATTATAGGGGAGATATATAGGTTCCTATGATAGAGAAGATTTTTTTCCATGTCCCAAAAAAAAATCAAAAATTGTATTCAACAGAAATGTCTAGAATAATTAATTTTCATTGTTAATGCAATAACAAACAGCAGAATATTTCACATTTTCATAAATCATTGTAGTCTTTTTTGTTGACTGAATAACTTTCTTTGTTGATTAAACATTGTAATATTCTTGGAATGGAATTCATCAATTTCAAGCACATTTGTGGACTGATTGTTCACAAAGTCCCTATAATTGTGTTTTTCAACACCGATATATTTTTAATTTCTTCTCCTTTCAATTTCTCTTTGATATAACCCCAGATATTTTCGATTGGCCAAATATCAGCCATTTTATCAGCTTGTTCTTCAGATTTAACATGATCATTGAAAATCTCATCTATTTGTTCTAATGCATAATGAAATCGATGTTTTGAATCACCATCATCTTGCCATATAAGATCAACATCACCATATTATTGATCTATATGAGGTTTCAGCTGTTGTTCTACTAATTTAATATATAAAAATCTATCCATTGTAATTCTTCTCTGGTCAATCTTTTGGTATTTCGACTTCAACCATTCATCAATGAAAATTGATGAAGCATTTGAAATTAAACCGCAAGATGAGATTCCACCATATAATAAGACACCGGCACTATATTTTTCTTGTCCAACAGTTTGTAAATCAAGTGGAATTGTTGTTTTGCTTTTAGGCCAAATAACGTTATTTTATGGAACTCACGTATACTTTCGAAGAAAATAGTGAGTGTAAGTTTTAAATCGAGGTTTTGCGGCTCCCCCACTCCCATAGGTTCCTTCCATTACAGACCATAGCAACGTGGGTGTGGGTGTGGGTGTGGGTTGGCGTCGGTGTGTGTATTGATGAAAACAAGATTGACACCCACACCCACACCCACACCCACACCCACACCCACACCCTTGTATCATTCATTTGAAAACGAAAATAATTTTTAATTAATAGGAAATTTCAAGTTTATGAAACATTCTTGAAAATAATTTTAATCAACCGATGATTGTGAATGTTATAGTAATGTTAATCTTATATTCATTTCGAGTTTTTCGAACGATAAAATTGCATTCAAGAATTTCGACAAGTTTTCTGTTGATTTGAATACCTGGACTAAAAAGCCGTATTAAGTTTTTTTCATAGAATAAAACTTTTAAGATGATTCTTATGGTAAATGAAAATGGATTTGAGAAAATAAGAAACAATATTAATCTATTCTTTTTTTATATTTCTAGGATTTTGTATAGTTAATTTCAACAGACGATATATATGGTTTATTATGTTTTATAATATTTATATCAGAAATAATTTATAGAAATATATTTAAAAAAACAAATCATGTCTTAGTTGTGAAACAGATCAAACAATATAATGTTTTACATTATCGAAGGCATTATTATTAATATTTGAATATCTTTATAAACGACATGATTTAACTCTATCAAATAAATAAATTCATTATTATAATCATATATAAATTTAATTAAACCAAATAATAGATTATTTATAGAATTATTACTTTTATCATTAAATGATCTTGATCATCTTTATTATTTAACAAGAAAAATTAAATATTTATATCAAGACAATTTTGGAGTTGGTTGATTACTTTCATTTTTAGCTTTAATTAATACATTACAAGTCAATCTAATGATGAAAATGAACAAACAATAAATAATTTAATAAAAGAAGAAAAAAATTTAGAAACAAATGCAACATAATGATAATAAGATTCAAAAATAAACTAGATTTTATCTGTTCTTTTTTTTTTTATCAGTGATCAACATAGGAAAAGATGTTCAAAACTAAATAAAAATTCAAATAATTTATTTAAAAATATTGAAGGATTAGAGGCACGTGATTTTTTATCCTATGAACAACTTTCATATAATATTATATTAATATCAATTCAAAGTAATGCGAAATTACCATTAATAGTTCATATATGTTTTAAGAATTGACAAATAGAACTTGTATTTTTATGAATATTGATTCTTCAATGTAAGTGTAGAAAAAAAAAGATTATTGAAAGAATTTTAAACTTTATTATACAGAACTGTAAGTTAAGAGAAAGGCAAATTCATTACTAAACTATTATTTTCTTCAAACAAAAAATCTAGCGTTTATCTATAATTTCATATATATGCTGATTACTTGTATTTAATTGATAAAATCTAAAATATGAGAAATATTTTCTATTAATCAGAAAATTAGAATATAAACATTTCCTTCACTCGCATTCACTTTTTAATATATATACTATTTAGAGTTTATTTTCTCGTCATGATCTTAATTTAACATCTTCATTACAAATTCTAATTGAACTATATGTTCGTTGGTTAAAAACAAAATTTAAATCATTTTTGTATTCAATTAAAATATAAATTAATAAATTCATTTATATATCTATATGATTTATGTGATAATTTAATAATATTATTAATAAATTATAATTTCTGTATATCTGGTATATTACTTACTTGAAAGTCATCAAGTTGACTTAAATAATGATAAATAAACACAAAAAATTATATAAATTAGTCTTTCAAGACTTTTAATAGTTAGTCAATATTTTAAAAATGATATATAGCGTTTTATATGAAATATGAGTATGCATTTGTACATGATTACAACGACTAAATGAAAAATATAAATTCATAAAATAATGAAGAAAGAATAATTGAAAGTTCATCAATAATATTCTTATTGAACTTGTTGCAGAATTATATGAACGTACTAAATAATCATCAACATTACCATTAAAGGGTGGACCAGAAGTTCTAACTCGATTTTGTATCATGCATTTTTCTTTAGTAAAATAGATAGTTGAAAATTTGTCTCTATGAAGAAAAGATACAGTACCAGACACTCTACAAAATGGTTTTTCATTGACTTGGTTAGCCGATATAGTAGGAAAGTTAATAGTTTAGAAATATGCCTCACGAAAAAGCAAAATTAACTGTGAAGCCGGTCTTGGTATTTGTGCTTTAACTTCTGTTTCTTACATTTTCTAGAACAAATTCTGTTTTAAATAGAAACACCTTGAAATTCTCTAGAAAATTATATCTGAACTTCAATGAAGGATACTAGGTATATTATATGAGAGACAAAAAAGAATCAAAACCTATGTAAATTCAGCATTTTTTTCGATTTGAACTTTTTCTTCTACTGTTTCCGTACAAAAGCGTAGCAAAAGTGAGAATTCAGTTTATCTTTGGTACGTTCAAATGTGCTCTCTCTCGCGGTCTATCGAAAAAAGTTTTTTTAGCGAAGATGGACTTCTCAAGAATCAGCTTTTAAAAATACGTCAATAATCGATAACCCTGTTTCCGAGAGTATACTCAGCAAGAAACAAAAAATCTGATTTAAGTCTTGATCTTCCATCGAGGTAGAGAAAAGCAAGCATTTCTAATCAAAACAAAACAAACTCCATTGAGAAACCTTTTGTTTTTATGAAGTTATCAAACTTTTACTCCAATCATCACAATTTCGACTAAATTTACGGTTAATTTTTCTTTTTTGTGAAGCATATTTCTAAGTTCATCACTTTTATACTATATCAGCTAACCAAGTCAATAAAAAGCCATTTTGTAGAGCGTCTTTTACGGTATCTTTTCTTCATAGAGAAAAATTTTCAACTATCTATTTTACTAAAGAAAAATGTATTATACAAATCGAGTCAGAACGTCTGGGCCACCCTTCATTACTTGCATATATTAGTTTATTGAATTGTTTAATGAATAAAGTGGTTTTAGAATTTACTGCATCAACACAACAATTATATCCTCAAATACTTGCCTATAAATTACAGTTTTTGCTGTTTTTCGTACTTTAATTAATGCACATTATTCATCTCAAGTTAATGAATGGAGTTTATTATCAATGACAAGTAGTGCACAAAGAAAACTAATACGTATGGCTAAATGGGAATTAACTGGTCTTATGTTAAATGCATATTCATTGCATACAACTTAAATAATTTATCCTTAATCTTTAAAGAAAAATAAAATTGTATTGAAATTTCTTACTAATGATTTAATTGTGAATTAATGTTGCACGAGTTTTTCTGAACTTATTCATATGAGTAAAATCGAGTGAAGTTGTATTTGAGCTATTTTTTTACCTATGGTTAATTATTCTTCCTAGTTTTTTTAAAAATTATCAAGACTTACACATAAGATTAAAATTTATTTGGAAAAGACAAATAGTAAAACGTCAATGAAAAAAAATCTTCTTTATTGCAATCCGAAGGAATAACAATCAAAACGAAATCAATAAATTTCGCCATGAAATAGCAAAATGAATTCTCATATATAATATAGTATATCTTTTACCTTTTTAGGCTCTCATTGATGTTATTATGTTTCAGTGCTCATATTGCTGGTCGAGAATATTATCTGCAGGTATTATAAAAGAAAATCTTCAAATACTAATTGTATTAAAAAATAAATCTATTGTACTTATTTTACTTAACGAATATCAAACAATGACGTCAATTTGAACAAACATTCATAGGGTGTGGGTGTGGGTGGGTGTGGATATAGGTGGGCATTGGTATTACTCTCAGAAGACACAATACCCACACCCATACCCACATTGAACCCAAAAGTGTGTTTTGAACTAAAAAAAAGGTTTCGATTTCGTTTCAATTCTCTGAACCCTTTTATGTTTCGTAGATAGAACTACAAAATACTTGAAAAAGTATTCTAAGTCTATGACGATTATTTTCAGACACCCGAAGTTTTTACGAAACCTTTTGAGAATTCCGTATTTATTTCGAAAATGGTTCGGTACACTAGAAAAAAACTAGTATGATTACCAAATCCTGTTTAAAATGTATACGAAACCCTCAAAAAGGTTTCGTAAAAACTTCGGTTGCCTGAAAATAATTGTCATAGACTTAGAATACTTTTCAAGTGTTTCGTAGTTCTATCTACGAAACCTAAAAGGGTTCAGAGAATTGAAACGAAGTCGAAACCCTTTTAGGTTCCGTACTATGTGTGAAACCTTTTTTTTAGTTCAAAACACCCTTTTGAGTTCGGTATTGTGTCTTTTTTTTTCAGTGTTGAGTAGAATCTCTACGAAGTCGGTCGTGGCTTATATGAACAGGCACATAAAGGGTGTCTCATAATAACTGAGGATAAATTGTTAATGATGTTTTTCAGACTTTTTCTTGAAGTAGAAGGCTGAAATTTTATCATATATATATCTGATGAACACCTCTTATTTCTGAAAGTTTCAGCTCTCTAGCTAGACCAAATGGTGAAATTCATCGACAAGATCCAATTACATAAATTTTCGTATTGAATTTCCATCGGTAGACAACGAAAAAAAACATAAAGCATCCGGAAATTTTTCTTTCCTGTCAGACTTAGGAGAATTTTTTCCGCTGATCATTTTGATAAAAACAATTTTCGAATTTCATTCAGAAATGACGATGTTATAGTCAAAATATTTGTCGTAAAAATAGAAGATATCAAATTTTTTTGACAGAAATATCGTATACAAAGTTCAATTGAGAATTATTCATCTTTTTTACCTGTATCTGAGAAACTGACTATAGGGTTTTGTAGAGCACATTTTTCTCTATACAGCCCACTACGCTACATTTCTCCAGAATATGGCCATTTTAAGATATGTGAATCGACTTTTCCTTACATTTTAACCTATTTTATAGTGTTTAGTATTTTATCTAACATCGTCATTTCTCAATGAAATTCGATAAGTTTTTTTTACCAAAATCATCAACGGAAAAAATCTCTAGAAAATCTCATACGAAAGAAAATTTTCTGAATAGTTTGTAATTTTTTTGGTTAACTGCCTATGAAACTACCTGTCTACATTTTCACAGAAAAAAATATTGAAAAGTCAATTTCGAAAATTTATGTATTTTCGTCTTTTCCATGCATTTCACTATTAGTTTTAACTAGAGACCTGAAACTTTCAGAAATAAGAGGTGTTCATGAGATATATATGTAATAAAAATTTCAGCCCTCTATGCAAAGAACAAGTATGAAAAATATCATTAACAATTTATCCTGAGTTATTATGGGACACCCTTTATAGTAATTACAGAAAGTACATCTGCTTCCCAAATTCTTCTATAATAGTGTTCGTGATTTTTTCCATGGTACACCCACACCCTGCTTAAAGTTGGAACTTGTATAGTTTGATTGAATATGAGATGATTTCTTCAGAATTCTTTTTAAACACGTGAGGACAGTCCGTGTTATCGAACAGGAATGGTATCTTCAAGCTTCTATCGTGAAAATAGGCTTTTAGATTGTATTCAAGTTACTATTGTTTCTAAATCATTCAATACCAACTATTATACAAGTTTCAAGCGTGATGGTGTGGGTATGAGTAAGGTTGTGGCTGTAGGTGTGGCGTAGCTTTGCTAAAGGGAAAATCAACACCCACGCGCACAATCACACGCACACTAACCCCCACACCCACTCACACTCATTAAACAAATCAAATTTCTTATAAACATTTACTTTTGTCTTCGATAGTTTTTTGGTCTCAATTATACGTCTATTTTGCAGAGCTGGACGTAGACGCATATCACTGACATCCACACTCACGTCCTCAGAGTTTTGTTTTTCTCTGGGACAAAGTCATATTAAGTGTTAAATTACTCAGGTTGGCAAACTTTTTCTTATTCTTCAAAGACGCGTCCGATCCCCCTCATCAGCATTTGAAGTAACGTTCGAATAAAAAATTGCATTGGAAAAATTGTTCAAAGTTCGACGAGAATGTGAATCAGGTGTTCCTGCAGAAACAAAGCGACTGTTAATATTATTATTAACAATTAAATCGTCGTCGATGTCGTTCCTAGTCGAGACTGGCGTTTTTTCAAAGTAACGGCTTGTTGGTGGTTTTTGGAATCTATTTGTTTTATTCATCACTGATGTGTCATTTTCTGGCGAAATTACGTTTCGCCAATTGTCATAAAAATTGTTATCTAATTCAGCCTGTTGTCTAGGATGCGCTGATTTTGATTGCTGTTGTTTTGATCTACCCTGAAACCGTATAAAACATTAGAAATTTGGCTTTTAGTGTTGATGAAAAACTTAACCGTTTCCAATCTCCTTCCTCGTGCATCATTTTCATGTTGTCGAGTATTACTCTGCGCTTCTCTAATCTAAAAATTAAAAGAGCTTACAGCAAACTACGTGTCTATGGCAAACAAACTCATTTTTACCATACGGCTTTCCACTTTTCTTCGCTCGTCGTCCCTAATCTGAAATCCAAGAGTATACAAGAAAACTGTTTCGATGTTTGAAGGAGAAACTTACCTCTTGTTCACGACTCTGTGCTTTTTTTCTTTCCTCTTCTCTCACCTAAAATCATGTGATAACTATAGTTCAAGACAGTAAACCTTGTTGAATGAACTGACTTTTGCAATCAATGCTTGTTCATATGCTTTTTTCTTATCCTGCTCTCTTTTTTCTCGTCTTGCCTGCTCTTCCTTTCTCCGATTTTCGATTTGTTGAAAATCAACATTTGTGTAGTAGTTGCCATTATTTTCCGTCACAATGCTCTCGATTATTTGTAGTAATTCTTTTGTTTTTTTCTCCAAAGGGAAACCATTCAGTTTATTGTTTAAAGCAAATCTACGATTTCCACAATCATAAATCAACTTTTGTAATGATTTTGACGAATTAATAAATTTATTAATAGTTTGACCTTCATCTAACTGATCTTCACGAGTGAAAACTACGATGCAATAGCGTGCAGCATCTGGGCCGAAAATTGATTTAATAATATCAACAGTTTCTTTTTCTTCGGGTGTGAAACGATCAACACGAACAATAATTAAAAAGGCATGTACACCTGGCGACGTCATATTAAATATCTGCGAAGCAATCGTTTCCTGCACTATCTGGTTAGTTATTGCTGGATCCGTGTCGAAAAATCCTGGAGTGTCCACAACAAGAAGCTTTTTCATTCGACCATTGATATCCGTAAAAGTATTTGATTTTGCTTCACAGTTTCTAGTAACTGATTCGGCTGATTGTTCTGAGTGGAAAGCGGTTCGAGAATGCAACAATGAGTTACCAGTAGAACTTTTTCCTTAAAAGAAAACAGATCGTAACCTGAAAGTAGAAAATTGACTGATCTTGTCCTCACCATTTCCTGTTTTTCCCATAAGGACGATACGAATTTCTTCTGGTGAGGTGGCCTAGGCAAAAATAAGTGAGTCATGTTGCAACATAATGGGAAAATTCCCCGCACTACATATATAATCTTGGAGAAATATATTAAAGTCAATTTCATAAAGGTATTTTCCTCACACCGCTATAGTTTTACAAGCGTAATTACAAATGCTGAAGTTAGATGGATCTTTGAATCTTTTCTTTTTTGGCTCTGACATTCATAATCTCAGAAAAAAGCTTTAAAGTGATGCTCGCGATCTTTTTGACAAACTGAATCGAATCGCGTAAAAATATAGGATGGTAAGTTGTATTTGATCATTGATTTTGAGATATATTAGCTACAGCATTACATGGAGGAAGTGGGATATGCGAGTCATAAAAATTTGACCATGTTACACGGGAGATCATCTTTGAGGATGTTAAGAATCTCTGTCTCTTTTTATTGGAAAAGATTATCAAAGCTGAAATGACGATCGAAATCTACCTGTGTTTTGAGTTGTCTAATAGCGAAACATTGGTGCAATTATTTGGGGGTTTATTTTGATCGTTAAATCGAGCAACTTCAGATCTTTCTCTCGCGCTCCCGTGATTTTACTAGAGCTCTATTCCCTGTTTGAAATGAGCATAAAAATAGTCGCTCGAATATTTTCATAGTGTGATCAATCTATTTGCAGATTGATCTAACTAAACATAACAAAGGTTGTGAGCGTGGATGTTGGTAAAGTTTTTTTTTCATCATTCATATTCAACCACACATCGTCTGACTGCTACGACTTATCGAAGCCTTTACATGCGACCTACCGACACTATTGGCATTGGTTCAGGATCTTCTTGTTCCATGTGAACAATGAACAGGCGATTTTCGAAGTTCAGCGATTTGCCATTAACGCGCACACAAGTTCCAGGCATAAGAATAACTTCTTGCTCTTCTTTAAACACTGAATATTCAGAAATATCTTTACCATGAATCGCATTAATAGCAAACACGGTACCCATCTTCCCTAAATATAGCTCAACAACTTTCAGAGCTCTCGAACATGAATTTACACTCCACCAAGTTTCCCGATAGTTGTCAACGAAAGCTGAGCCGATATCGCCCCAAACACCTCGCCAAACAATAGTTTTAAGTGATGGTAACTTTACGAGAGCAGTCATGAAAAGTTTCAAGAAAGCAAACCACGGCTTTAGATTATGCCGATTTTCAGCACGAAGTGCTTTATTGAGATCGGAAAAGAAAGGTATTGGCATTGAGTAAAGATAGATTGCTGCTGATTCATCCCACGTCAACAAAGTCGAGTTTCGATTGCAATTTTCTTTCGCTTGAGCAACGTAATCCACGAGACCAGGAATCATTGGAATTATTCTTTGTACTGCTTGTTCCAGGGGTAGAATTGGTAGATGCTGGTAGCCATATATCGGATTCTGGTTTGCTTCTTGAAGTTCTAAGACATTACTATTCACAAATCGACTAGTCTTCATGAGCGCCATTTGTTTTCTCTTCTTATTGTCAATTTTCTATTATAAGCAAAATTAGAAAAGTAGTATATGAGCTTTAGTTCTACTTAAATATTCTTCTTTCATTCTGAACCTCACTTCACATTAGTTACTAGTTTATTTTTATTCTTGTGATACTATTGTCCTTGAAACAAACCCCATCTCCCTGAATGCAGTATCTTGAGGGTGTGAGTATGTCTTCTCTTCATGAACACCCATAACTATCCGGCAATCGATCAAAAACAGTGGACAACTATGAAAAGGTTAGGTGTGAGTGTAGACGTTGGTGTTGGATGCAAGTGAAGAGAAAATCGATAAATACAGCAGTAATCACACTGGCACTCGTAAAGACTTCTACGCCCACATTTTAACGAGGCAGGCCTACGGCAACACGTTTTGTGGAACTCACGTAGATTTTCGAAGAAAATAGCGAGTGTAAGTTTAAGGTCAAGATTTTGCGGCTCTTCCTCCCCTTACAAACCATAGCAACGTAGGTCTCCATTACAGATCTTAGCGACCAGGTTTAAAATAATGCATATACATATACATATATATATAATAGTTTTATTCGCCATATAATTCAATGATTCTTATAACGAAAATGTAAAATTGAAAAAAAAAGCAGTGTTAAAAATGAAAAATACTGAACGACTAGCAACAAAGAAAATGAAAAATAGGGGCACCTGTCAGAAAATTAAAAAATCGTGGTTTTATAACTATCTATATTGCATATTAGTATAATGAAGCTGAAGTGTACATGTGAGTTCCACATTTCAGCTTCGCAGGAGCTCCGCTTACAATCTTTTTTATTACATTAACACCCGCCTGCTAGGAAAGTTCTTAACTTTCACAGGATCCTACGACCACTCTCGAGTGGTTGTAGGGGGCGTCCCTGGGCTGCTAGTAGCCACTCGTCTGGTCATGAGGCTAGCAATCTCTAGCTGGACATTAAACAATATCTGCTAACGAAAGGAAACATTATAGGTGCGTTAATGCACAAAATCATGTCTTCTTCGGCGGATGGAACGTTAGATCTTGTATAAAGCAATCAAAGAGGGAAATAATTATCAAACAATTAAAAAAATATCAAATACAAATAGCCGCACTGAGTGAAACGTGTATGTGTGATTCCGGTGTAAAATTAGTAAGTGACTACACGATGATCTATTCAGGTGCACCATATGACAGAAAAACACGAAAAGCTCATGGTGTGGCAATCTGTCTCCATCCGATTGCCACAAAGGTTTGGAAGGATTCAGGGAGCGAATGGGTACCAATAAGTGAACGAATTATTAAAATTCGATTCTACTGTGCACCAATTCACATCACTGTAATTGCAGTCTATTCTCCTATTAATCCAATAACAAAACAAATGAGCGATGAAAATGATAAATTCTATAATGATTTACAAGATACATTAAATGATGTATCCACAAAAGATATGATCATCATTATGGGTGATCTAAATGCGAGAGTTGGCAATGATCAACAAAAAGGACATCAACACGTGATAAGAAGCGGTATAGGGCCATTTACAGTTGATATAGAAAATGAAAATGGGACGAGACTTATCGACTTCTGTGAGATTAACAACATCATAATCTCTAACACATTTTTCAAGCATAAACTAGTGCATCAAACATCGTCGATGCATCCAAGAAATAAAAAATGGCAGATGATCGACTATACGCTTGTAAATAAGAAGTTTAGATCAAGTGTTGAAGATGTTCGAATGCTCAGAGGGGCAGTAGGTACAATAGGAACTGACCACCATCTAATGCGTGTCAAGATTAAAATACATTTGAAAAGCAGAAGAAAAAATGTCAATTCGAAGAAAATAAACGTTGATAGTGCTAAGCTAAAATATGAAAAATTACTAGAAGCGTTTCAAAAAGATCTTCATGACATATTCGATAATGCAAAAGATGACACAATCAGCATTGATCAGAGATACGAACTATTTTTGTCACAGATAAAAGAAAAGGCCAAATATCATTTTCCTGTTGACAAAAACACAAACCGAAAAAGGAAAGAATGGTTGACAAGCGACATTCTAAAAGTTATTGACCAAAAATCAATAGCTTTTGTTGAATGGCAAAACAATCGTGGCTCCAATTTAGAGTCTAAATTTCATAAAATCTATAAACGCCTGCGAAAAATAGTTAAAAAAATGACGGAACATCGTCAAGAAGAATACTGGGATGAAGTATGCGAAAATATAGAAAAATCTATCAAAAATAATGATCCTATGACGGCTTTTTCCATCATTAGACGTCTCAGAGGAGGAAGTAAAAGAGACGAAAACATGCCAGTGCAAGATAACAGTGGTAAACTACTGGTAAATTCAAGAGATACCTTGAAACGTTGGCGTGAATTTTTCTATGAAACTCTCAACATAAACTCATCAATTGATCCAAATCTTATTGATCTAATTGAAACACCGACTCTGGCAATAACTGAAGAGCGGCGGCAAAACGCTCCACTATCTATTGAAGAAGTGAGGAAAGCATTAAGTCAAATGAAATCTAGGAGAGCCTCAGGTAGTGATGAAGTCACAGTTGACATTCTAAAAGCTGGTGGT